AAAAAAAAAAAAAAAAGTGCATGACAAGACTTTCCCTTACATCTGTCTCCGCTGAAGATATGGTTATTTTCTGCTGCGTTACGACCTGAAAAAAAGGGGGAGAAACACGTGGGGGCGAGACAGAGCACAACGATTGTAATGACATCCATCACTTCTACCACCAGAAGGGTGTCCACTCCTCAAAGCAACTAACCGGTATGATTGACTTCATCATGTGCCACATGCCAGTTACAAAAAGAGGGGCGCTCAGGATTAGCATTTTGGAGAGCCTCGATCTATAATTACACTGAGGGGGGGGGGCGGGGGGGGGTTGTGATGGTGGTGAGAAATTAAAACCTTTGCGTGTGACGTTTGTTTGGTTTGGCTTATGTGCCGCATGGTTACGTTAGTTCCGCATTCTCCTCTTCTCTTTCGTTTGTCTCTTCTCTTTCGCGCCCTCCTCCGTCCCTTACGCTGAGGCACTTGGAAATGTCCTTTAAGGTGCCGATGGGGATGGTCAACACACCACAGGAAGACAAATCAATTATAACTCTCCACTGCTCGATTTTTCCTTCAATGAAGAGCTTCGAAATGATGAATTCTGCGGTGGGATATGGTGGGGACGAGGTGCATGGGGGAACAGCGTCAAGTGTGTGAAGCACCAAGGAACGTAAAAAATGGAAAACTCCTTACCCATCCAGTAGTAGGCCACCTTCAAAACGTCCTTCTGCGGTGGGGGGGGGGGGGGGGGAAAAATAAAAATAAAAATAAACCTGCACAACATAGCGATGTGGCGATGTAGAGACGTAGCGCCGTGGCGACGTAAAACGCACGTCCTGATATTCTCATCAGTGGGGAGGGGTCGCTGCAAAACAGGACCAAATCGCAAGCGTAATATTGCTCCCTCGAAGTATTTGCTCCCCGTGGAGGACCCCTCCAGGGAATGCTCCTCCTTACCGTATCTGCAGTAATGAAGCTTTTACAATTGATAATAATTATGGGGTGCATTTTCTTGTCCCGCCCGTGCACGTAAATGTATCCCTTTTCCTGCAGTAAAAAGATGAGCAGTAAAAAAATGAGCAGCAAAAATGGGGCAAAAAAATGCGCGGCAAAAATGACACCAAGTTCTCGCTGCAGTGGCGTCCGATTGGGGGCAACCCTAAACCACCCACCAGACCGTTTCCCCTTCTCACAATTCTTCCCGCCAGGAGTTTTTTCCCCCTTACCAGCATATCCTTTATATCTTCGTACAGCACAGGAAGATTCTCATCTCGCCACTCCAAGTGTCTTATCATGTCGTAGTAGCACTTTTCAAAATTGAATTCGTTTCTGCGGTGTGCACATTATGAGTGAGTGCGTATTATGAATGCGTGCCCGTATCAGTGAGTGCGTATTATGAATGCGTGCCCGTATGAGTGAGTGCACATATGAATGCGTGCCCGTATGAGCGAATACCTGTGTTACATATATGTACGTCTCCACCACGCGCACGCTAATACACTTGTTCGACATCAATCTGGCTTACCCTTGTAGAAAACGGAGCACATAATTATCATCCTCAAAAATGGTATTAGCGAACATGGACTCATAGGTTTCCACCCCTTTTCCATCTGATTCTTTTTTTTTTATATCATTTACAATTTCCTTTAGCTGTTTTATTTTCTCTTTTTCAAACTCGTCCAATTCCTTGCCACAGAAAATGTACCTTAAACTTTTGTGCTGATTTTTGTGGTGCTACACGTGAGGAACGGGGTGACAGAAATGATTAATTAAAAGGGTCCCACTGGGGAATAGAAAAAATATTTTTTTTGTTGAGCATTCGATGTGTGTTTATCCATGCATGCAACTCCCTGCAGCACTGTACAATGGGAGTTTTTTTTTTTTTTTTTTTTTTCTTTTTACGTATTTAATTTCCTCCTCGGTGGGCTCATACATCAACACCTTCTCAGTTATGTATTCGGACGCCATCGTGTTGACACTAATCGTTACTGCGTCTTGTGAAGTAAATGTTGGTGCAGTGTTCTGTAACGTTTTTTGGGGGGCCCCTGATCCGTCTAGCTGCGAGGTGTTAAAGGGGGGCACAAGAGAGTGTTTTCTACTGTTAGCAGTTCATTACGATTTAACTCCCATTTGAATGCCTTTTTTTTTTTTTTTTTTAATCCAATTTGAATCGCATTTCGTTTTCGCGCCTTTGCTTAAAAATGGACAAACGCTCTTGAAGAACAAATGTGGGAGAAAAGTTGAGGTGAGCAAAATTATCATCTTACCTTTTGAACACTTCACGCGCTGCAGTTGGCTAAATGTGGTTGCAGCACAACCGGTGTGTAGGTGCGCATGTAGGTGTGCGTGTAGGTGGGCGTCCGCCGTGAGCGATACCCACTTAGGGTTGCTTGTGATCCTACACACCTACACGTACTAAAACCGCAACCGAGTCGGATGGTGACTAATCAAGTCAAATGTAAAAATGTGAACACTGCAGGGTAGCAGGTATGTACAGCCGCGTACAAAACATAAGGAGAAGTGGGGTGTGCAGAAGAAACGTTACAAACGCGACGTACAAGTGGAGTGCCTTTTCAATATCTGTTCTTCATTTCGAGAAGGGGAAAAAAAAAAAAAAAAAAAAAGGGAAAAATAAGTCAGTCGAAAAAGTTGTGCATCCAAAAAGGAGTGGATGAAAACAGGAATGAGTGAGAGCAACGAGACGAAGGCAAAATGTACCCGTATAAACGCACGCAGTAAAAAAGGAAACACGAGTATCAGCAGGTTATGTAATTTTTTTTTTTTTTCTTCTAAGTGAAAAATGTATACACTATTTAATGATTTTTTTTTTCAGGTTAAGCAGAGATAAATGTATTACACTGCGTTATCCTGAATTTCAATTAA